AGTCAGGACAATGTGACGTCACTGGTTACCATGACGTCACAATCAAATGACATCACTAATGGCTCTGCTACTGAAGCTATTACCAGTACTTTTTACACTGAAGACACTGCTTGTTACTGTCTACAAATTCAAAAAGTTGGAAGAATGATGTTAGATGATAAATAAAATCTCACCCTCGTGTCTTTTGATATCAAATATATCAACACTCGTTGATAAAAATGGCAAAAATCCTCGGCAAGCCTCAGAATGTTTCCACTTTTATCAACTCGTGTTGATATATTTCATATCAAAGACACTCGGGTGAGATTCTCTATATACCTCAGAAGTAAATCAGCGAGTGTCATGTGTATCGGGGGTCAGCTGTGTTGTTGTGTAGTATGTCGCCGGCTGGAATTCACGTCTTTGTAAGTCCATTATACGATTCCGACTATATCCTGAGCGTGTTTCCGCCACCCGTCACACACACTGACATGCAGACACTGGTTGATAGGATAACAACGACACGGTACGATGACACTCAATCAGACAGTTCCCACAGTGTGACAACCCGCTTCTCCTATTCGTCGTATTTTAAGCCAGACAGAGGCTGCACAAACCTGCTCTGCCCCTAATCCCACTAGCCTTAATGGTTGGTTTGTTTGTTGTTGAACGCCGCACTCAGCAATATTCCAGCTATATGACGGCGGTCTGTAAATAATCGAGTCTGGACCAGACAATCCAGTGATTAATATCATGAGCATCGATCCACGCAATTCGGATTGATGACATGCATCAACCAAGTCAGCGAGCCTGACCACCCGATCCCGTTAGTCGCCTTTTACGACAAGCAAAGTCACCTTTTACGGCAAGTATGGGTTGCTGAAGACCTATTCTACCCCGGAATCTTCACGGGTCTCTTAATGACTAAATAGACATGATATAGGCGAACAAGTTGACGTAAACCTTGTACTATGTATAAACTTTACAAAAACAACAACAAAAAACACATCGACATTGCAAGTACGTGTTACCCGACGCTAGGTGTCGCCACCGATTTGCAGTGGTCCTCCCATATAACGTTCACAGACAGTCTCTCCTTTACGCCAAATGGAATCTGTTTCGGCGAATATTCTAGACAGGTTATTTTATCTTGCATTGCCAATTTAGATTGTATTACATTTTCCTCAGTTACCATTACGAAGACCTCCCCTTGGTAAGGTGACATAAACTATCCCTGCGGTTGGAGCGATTTAATTACAGATACTGTGCCTTCTCGGCTGCATAAAGACTTCCACCGACATGACGTGACCCGCGGGCTTCACCGTTAAAAATGTAGAGGCATTAGCATGTATTAAATCCCGTCAGTGATTGGAAGGCAACGTTTGACAGCTGTTGGTGTTGGAAACTGTTGGCTTCTGAAGTCTTGTGTCAAAATAACGAAAGTAAACAACGTTGGTTTGTGTGTACGTGTTGCCCTTGACGACCAACGTTGGTTTGTGTGTACGTCTGGCCCTTGACGACGGGATGCAGGACCTGCAAGGTCAGGTCAGCATCACGTATGTCCGCATCACGTACGTCAGGGCATCTTTGTTGAATCATGATGTGGCACTGTTGGATAACCACGCCGACGGTAGTGTCCCATGCCAGCCACTTGCTTCCTATTTACTTCTTTGACTGTTCTGTTTGTGTGGGGTTTGAAATATTCTGTTTACCGGCCATTTACCCGGTTGCCTGATTTTGGTAGTTGTAGTGGTGTGTTCACATCTGTCAGCCTGATACGGGTAGTTGTAGTTGTGTGTTCACATCTGTCTGCCTGATACTGGTAGTCGTGTGTTCACATCTGTCTGCCTGATACTGGTAGTTGTAGTTGTGTGTTCACATCTGTCTGCCTGATACTGGTAGTCGTGTGTTCACATCTGTCTGCCTGATACTGGTAGTTGTAGTGGTGTGTTCACATCTGTCTGACTGATACTGTAGTTGTATTTATGTGTTCACATCTGTCTGCCTGATACTGGTAGTTGTAGTGGTGTATTCACATCTGTCTGCCTGATACTGGTAGTTGTAGTGGTGTATTCACATCTGTCTGCCTGATACTGGTAGTTGTAGTTGTGTGTTCACATCTGTCTGATACTGTAGTTGTAGTGGTGTATTCACATCTGTCTGCCTGATACTGGTAGTTGTAGTTGTGTGTTCACATCTGTCTGATACTGGTAGTTGTAGTGGTGTATTCACATCTGTCTGCCTGATACGGGTAGTTGTAGTTGTGTGTTCACATCTGTCTGCCTGATACTGTAGTTGTAGTGGTGTGTTCACATCTGTCTGCCTGATACTGGTAGTTGTAGTGGTGTGTTCACATCTGTCTGCCTGATACTGGTAGTTGTAGTGGTGTGTTCACATCTGTCTGCCTGATACGGGTAGTTGTAGTTGTGTGTTCACATCTGTCTGCCTGATACTGTAGTTGTAGTGGTGTGTTCACATTTGTCTGCCTGATACTGGTAGTTGTAGTTGTGTGTTCACATCTGTCTGCCTGATACTGGTAGTTGTAGTGGTGTGTTCACATCTGTCTGCCTGATACGGGTAGTTGTAGTTGTGTGTTCACATCTGTCTGCCTGATACTGGTAGTTGTAGTTGTGTGTTCACATCTGTCTGCCTGATACTGGTAGTTGTAGTTGTGCGTTCACATCTGTCTGCCTGATAATGGTAGTTGTAGTTGTGTGTTCACATCTGTCTGCCTGATACTGGTAGTTGTAGTTGTGTGTTCACATCTGTCTGCCTGATACTGGTAGTTGTAGTTGTGTGTTCACATCTGTCTGCCTGACACTGGTAGTTGTAGTGGTGTGTTCACATCTGTCTGCCTGATACTGGTAGTTGTAGTTGTGTGTTCACATCTGTCTGCCTGATAATGGTAGTTGTAGTTGTGTGTTCACATCTGTCTGCCTGATACTGGTAGTTGTAGTTGTGTGTTCACATCTGTCTGCCTGATACTGGTAGTTGTAGTTGTGTGTTCACATCTGTCTGCCTGATACTGGTAGTTGTAGTTGTGTATTCACATCTGCCTGATACTGGTAGTTGTAGTGGTGTATTCACATCTGTCTGCCTGATACTGGTAGTTGTAGTTGTGTGTTCACATCTGTCTGCCGGATACTGGTAGTTGTAGTTGTGTGTTCACATCTGTCTGCCTGATACTGGTAGTTGTAGTTGTGTGTTCACATCTGTCTGCCTGATAATGGTAGTTGTAGTTGTGTGTTCACATCTGCCTGATACTGGTAGTTGTAGTTGTGTGTTCACATCTGCCTGATACTGGTACTTGTAGTTGTGTATTCACATCTGTCTGCCTGATACTGGTAGTTGTAGTTGTGTGTTGACATCTGTCTGCCTGATACTGGTAGTTGTAGTTGTGTGTTCACATCTGCCTGATACTGGTAGTTGTAGTTGTGTATTCACATCTGTCTGCCTGATACTGGTAGTTGTAGTGGTGTATTCACATCTGTCTGCCTGATACTGGTAGTTGTAGTTGTGTGTTCACATCTGTCTGCCTGATACTGGTAGTTGTGTGTTCACATCTGCCTGATACTGGTAGTTGTAGTGGTGTATTCACATCTGTCTGCCTGATACTGGTAGTTGTAGTGGTGTGTTCACATCTGTCTGCCTGATACTGGTAGTTGTAGTTGTGTGTTCACATCTGTCTGCCTGATAATGGTAGTTGTAGTTGTGTGTTCACATCTGTCTGCCTGATACTGGTAGTTGTAGTTGTGTGTTCACATCTGTCTGCCTGATACTAGTAGTTGTAGTTGTGTGTTCACATCTGTCTGCCTGATACTGGTAGTTGTAGTTGTGTGTTCACATCTGTCTGCCTGATACTGGTAGTTGTAGTTGTGTGTTCACATCTGTCTGCCTGATACTAGTAGTTGTAGTTGTGTGTTCACATCTGTCTGCCTGATAATGGTAGTTGTAGTTGTGTGTTCACATCTGTCTGCCTGATACTGGTAGTTGTAGTTGTGTGTTCACATCTGTCTGCCTGATACTGGTAGTTGTAGTTGTGTATTCACATCTGTCTGCCTGATACTGGTAGTTGTAGTTGTGTGTTCACATCTGTCTGCCTGATACTGGTAGTTGTAGTTGTGTATTCACATCTGTCTGCCTGATACTGGTAGTTGTAGTTGTGTGTTCACATCTGTCTGCCTGATACTGGTAGTTGTAGTTGTGTATTCACATCTGTCTGCCTGATACTGGTAGTTGTAGTTGTGTATTCACATCTGTCTGCCTGATAATGGTAGTTGTAGTTGTGTGTTCACATCTGTCTGCCTGATACTGGTAGTTGTAGTTGTGTGTTCACATCTGTCTGCCTGATACTGGTAGTTGTAGTTGTGTATTCACATCTGTCTGCCTGATACTGGTAGTTGTAGTTGTGTATTCACATCTGTCTGCCTGATAATGGTAGTTGTAGTTGTGTATTCACATCTGTCTGCCTGATACTGGTAGTTGTAGTTGTGTATTCACATCTGTCTGCCTGATACTGGTAGTTGTAGTTGTGTGTTCACATCTGTCTGCCTGATACTGGTAGTTGTAGTTGTGTATTCACATCTGTCTGCCTGATAATGGTAGTTGTAGTTGTGTGTTCACATCTGTCTGCCTGATAATGGTAGTTGTAGTTGTGTATTCACATCTGTCTGCCTGATACTGGTAGTTGTAGTTGTGTGTTCACATCTGTCTGCCTGATACTGGTAGTTGTAGTTGTGTATTCACATCTGTCTGCCTGATAATGGTAGTTGTAGTGGTGTGTTCACATCTGTCTGCCTGATAATGGTAGTTGTAGTTGTGTATTCACATCTGGCTGATACTGGTTTGTCTACTCCACTATTTTCTGTCTGCTCTGTTGATAACATTGCGTCTACTAGAGTCTACTGTCTCCCTCTGCAGAATGCTTGATAAAATTGTGACTACAAGACGTTTACTGCCCCCCTCTGCAGAATGCTTGATAATACTGTGTCTACTAGACGTTTACTGTCTGTCTTGTCTAGATGAAGAGTTACAGACTGTTGAAGAGAAGGAACTGAGCCACAAACTCACGTCACTTAACGCCGCCGTTGCCAAGGCCAACGCGGAGGTAGCGGAGGCTGTGCGTCTTTCCGCCGAGACTGAAAGTACCGCAGTGAAGGCTGGGATAGCTGCTGATAGGGCCAGAGAGGAGGCCAAGAGGTGAGTGAGTGAGTGAGTGAATGAGTGAATGAGTGACTGAGTGAGTGAGAGACTTAGTGACTGAGTGAGTGACTGAGTGACTGATTGAGTGATTGAGTGATTGAGTGAGTGAGTGAGTGAGTGAGTAGTGAGTGACTGAGTAACTGATTGAGTGATTGAGTGATTGAGTGAGTGAGTAGTGAGTGACTGAGTCACTGAGTAATTGATTGAGTGATTGAGTGAGTGATTGAGTGATTGAGTGATTGAGTGATTGAGTGAGTGAGTGAGTAGTGAGTGACTGAGTCACTGAGTGAGTGAGTGAGTGAGTGAGTGAGTGAGTGAGTGAGTGAGTGCAATAATTCATGCATATGACTGGAGGCATCAAGACAGGGCCTCACACATAGACCAGAGTCGAACCGTTTTAATGGCGTGACGAGCGAACGCCTCAACTACTCGCCTACCCAGGGGACAGTTTCGCCATAGCTCTCACCCTGCCCACTCCACGGTGCAGCGCTCTAGGGGCAGGGGCGAGGGTGGTGGTTCCACACGCTTAACGAACATATTGCCATTGCTGTGTTATCCCTTCGCATAAAGCTCAAGGCCTAGATACATTATATCTGTAGCGACATGAAACCAAATTTGTCTCTTCCAGAATACAAGAAGAAATAGAGTTGCGCGCACGGATGGAGGCTGAGAAGAAGGCCGAGGAAGAGAAGAGGAAGGAGGAAGAAGAGAGGAAGCGGGAGGAGGAGGAGAGACTGGCGGAGGAGGAGAAGCGGGCCAAGGAGGCGGAGTGGAGGAAGAGGGAAGCCAGCAATCTGGAGAAGAACCCCTGGGAGAAGTGGCCAGTGAATGAGTGAGTAGACGTCACGTACATGCAGCAGTGTAGCGCTGTAGTCTTGTAACACTGTAGCTGTAGAACCGTAGTAGCTGTATCACTGTAGCTGTAGCTCTGTAACATTGTAGCTGTGTAGCTGTAACACTGTAGCTGAAGCTCTGTAACATTGTAGCTGTGTAGCTTAGCCACTGTTGTTGAAGCTTTGTAACAGTGTAGCTGTGTAGCTGTAACACTGTAGCTGAAGCTCTGTAACAGTGTAGCTGAAGCTCTGTAACATTGTAGCTGAAGCTTTGTAACATTGTAGCTGTGTAGCTGTAACACTGTAGCTGAAGCTCTGTAACATTGTAGCTGAAGCTTTGTAACATTGTAGCTGTGTAGCTGTAACACTGTAGCTGAAGCTTTGTAACAGTGTAGCTGTGTAGCTGTAACACTGTAGCTGAAGCTCTGTAACATTGTAGCTGAAGCTTTGTAACATTGTAGCTGTGTAGCTGTAACACTGTAGCTGAAGCTTTGTAACAGTGTAGCTGTGTAGCTGTAACACTGTAGCTGAAGCTCTGTAACATTGTAGCTGAAGCTCTGTAACATTGTAGCTGTGTAGCTTAGCCACTGTTGTTGAAGCTTTGTTACATTGTAGTTGTGTAGCTGTAACATTGTAGCTGTAGCTCTGTAACACTGTAGCACTGTAGCTCTGTAGCTGTAACAATATACCTATGTAGCTGTAGCACTGTACTGTAATACTGTAGCACTGTAGCCTTGTACTTATGGAGCTGTAGCATTGTAACTATGTAGCTCTGTAGCACTGCGTGTGTGTCACTGTACATGTAGCTATGTAGCTCAGTAGAACTGTATGTGTAGTTCTGTAGCAATGTATGTGTAGTTCTGTAGCAATGTAGCATGCGTCTCAGCAGTAGGTCTCTCTATTTGATTTATTTCAATACATTCCATTTTATGTCTCAGCAAACGGGGGGCACGTGTGGCCCAGTCGTCCAAGGCGCCGCGATTCGCTGTGCAGAGTTGCGGCCCTTAGGCACGCCAGAAATCTATGATTGTTGGTTCGAACCCCGGTTCGCCACGATTATGTTTCTAGGTTTGTCAGCACCATACCCGTGCTCGTGGGTTTCACCGAAGTGGTAAACGTCTGAGACCTGCATCACTTCGGACTTCCCTCCCACATTAAGCTGACACGCCGTGATGTAACTGGAATACTGTTAAAAGCGGCGTTAAACCCAACTCACTCACTCACTCTCAACAAACACCAAAGGAGGAAGTTGAGATTTGGTCATATCAATAGTGCATTTTAAAGTGACGTGAATTTCAATTAGCCGCTACATTCTTATCAAAGGAAATCAAATGTGTGAAATCATTGCTTTGAATGGCGTGGATTCTGATGTGATCAGGTCCTGGTAATCTAGACCCGTGAAGATCAGGGGTAGAATAGATCTTCAGCAACCCATGCTTGCTGTAAAAGGCGACTATGCTTGTCGTAAAAGGCGACTAACGGGATCGGGTGGTCAGGCTCGCCGACTTGGTTGATGCATGTCATCGATCCCAATTGCGTGGATCGATGCTCATGATGTCAATCACTGGATTGTCTGGTCCAGACTCGATTATTTACAGACGCCGTCCTATATCTGGAATATTGCTGAGTGCGGCGTTAAACAACAAACCAAGCAACAACCTGGCAATCTATACTTGGTGTGAAAGGCGACTACACGGATCTGATGGTCAGGCTTTGGCTGCTGCCATGTCATAGACACGTTTCTCAGTCTACAGATATGGATGTCTAGAAATTAAGCACGCTTCTCGTTGTATAGATGTCTTCACTGATTGTATCGGCCGCGTTCCGCCGAACTGGTGGAGCTTCTTTCAAGCTACCAATCACACTGCGCACAAACAAATCTCGGGCCCTAAACATTTGATCATGTCAAGGACATTCTTGTTTATGCTGTTAAAGAGGTGTGTGTATTTTACATATACTGGTCTGTTATGTCCGTCCAACACAACAGCTGTCACTTACTATGCGTGGATAACTAAATGACATTAACACAACAGATCTCACCAACACAACAGCTGTCACTTACTATGCGTGGATAACCATATGACATTAACACAACAGATCTCACCAACACAACAACAGTGTTGTGTGAATGTACTTGACAACATGTCGGCATTGAGGACGTCGGGTCGGTATGTAATGTCCGTTTTGCAAACGGGACCAAAGGTTGACAAGCATACACCGCCCTCATAAATAACAATAGAATATCGTTATATGTGTCAGTGTGTGGACATAGCGTCATTTACTACCGCGTACCTCTGATGTTATACAAAGCCGTGTGTGTATTGGGAAATACTATACAAGTCATTATCTACTCTAGACAGTCATGGCTCTATATCACAGACTGGCCTAAAACTCAACCCAGGTGAAGTAGCGGCAGTTAACTGTCTTTCATTGTTTGGTTTACCCTTTCTGTTTTTTGTTTAAAGCCGCGCTCAGCAATATTCCAACAATATGAAGGCGATCTGTGGATAATCGAATATGTACCAAACAATCCAGTGATTGCCACAATGTGCACTGATTTGTTTGTTTGTTTGTTATTTAACGCCGCACTCAGCAATATTCCAGATATAGGACGGCGGTCTGTAAGTAATCAAGTCTGGACCAGACAATCCAGTGATTGACATCATGAGCATCGATCTACGCAATTGGGATACGATGACATGCATCAGCCAAGTCAGCGAGCCTGACCACCCGATCCCGTTAGTTGTCTCTTACGACAAGCATAGTCGCCTTTTACAGCACGCGTGTGTTGCTTAAGACCAATTCTACCCCGGATCTTCAATTGTTTTCCCACACTGAATGCCGTCTCGGTGAACATGAAAACTAGAAAATGTACAAATCGCTCTATTGCCAAACAGTTGCCAGACAGTGTACACTGTGCATACGTAAGCTACTCTTCCTCCATAGCATGTAGACTGAGAGTAGTATACTACACGTGCTATAGGAACCAGGGTTGTGAGTTTTAACGTATACCCAACTGTATCACATCCGCTTTCTCGGAGTTGCCTCCCTTGGTCACGCCAGGAACCTATGATCGTGGGTTCGAATGCCGGTTCGCCCCGATTATGTTTCTAGGTTTGTCAGCACCATACCCGTGCTCGTGGGTTTCACCGACCTGCATCACTTCGGGCTTTCCTCCCACATTAAGCTGACACGCCGCGATATAACTGGAATACTGTTAAAAACGGCGTTAAATCACTCGCCCAATCACACACGTACAAATCTCTACTGGAGCGGAGATACAGGATGGGGATAAGGTGAGGTGAGGTGAGGTGAGGTGAAGTGAGGTGAGGTGAGGTGAGGTGAAATGGGGTTTAACGTCGCGTCCAAGATTATTGCACTTATATAGAGACGTGCATGCACGTGTGTGTTTGTGTGGCTGTTTGTACTAGTCCGGACTGATGACGATTTATAGTGCTAGCTCACTGAGATACCATGCCGCAGTTTAATATGAATATCCCACTCAGACACAGTATACCGACTCCGAGCCGAACTTGTTTTAGTCCCTTAATGCTGAGCGCCAGACAGGGTGGCAACAAGTACCATTTTTTAACGTCTTTTGGTATGACGCGGCCGGGGATCAAACCCCGGACCTTCCGCTCTCCGGGCGGACGCTCTACCACTAGACCACGGAGGCGGTCGGATGGGAATAAAATATTGTGCTGGAACGATACAGCACAATCATCAGAGTGAGTGAGTGACTTAGGTTGAGCAACATTTCAGGATATCACGGCGTGTCAGCTTGATGTGGGAGAAAAGCCCGAAGTAGTGCAGGTCTCAGACATTCAGAAACATTATCTGCTTAAACAGGGATTTGAACCCATGACCATAATTTCCTGGCTCGCATAAGGGACGCAACTGCGCAATTGATTGCGGCGTCTTAACCGAATGGGCCCCCATATTCCCGGTCAGCGTGTTAGAGGGTTCAAGTGTATGAGTAATCATCAATAGCGCTCATGCTTATTCACACCAAGGCACAATCAGAGTTCACATGTAATCTATCAATTTCACATTTAATGTTTTCTACATGTTAATCCGCCTGGGAGAACAGTACGTACGTTTTACACGTCTCCACTCAGCACGGAATTCCGTGACTCAAGTCACGTCCCGCAGATCCCTCCGCGGCTATACTGGCTTTACAAAAACTCCACCCCGGTCATTACTGTTAGAATACACTGGAGCAGGCAGGTGCCCGTGAGGAGGGTGGGGTGTGAAGAATGTTTTAATTGCTCAATACTTTTCTCATTTCCCCAGAACACCTGGCTTCATATAACGCAAGCCGCGGTATAGCGAGGTCGATAGGGCAGGTAAACATGCATTGTCAATACCCACACACAGGCTTACAGCTGTGTTTACTGTGCACTGTAGTTACTATGTGTGGATGACCGCCAGGTGCAGAATGGTTATTATCGTAAATCATTTGCAAGTAAGAAATATATTTAAGAGGGAATAGGTTCATGCGAATTGCGAACCATAATTGTGTCTGGTAATCATATTTAGGGATGAGAATCATATGAAATTAATAGCTACCCTCGATGCACAGCCCCAAGGACTGAGTTTTCTATAATAATACCTCGTATATTGGTCTCAGGCAGTGACTGTTTAAAATGTGACTTTTGTCCCTCAGCAGCTGACGGGTACCCGATAGGATGGGATGGTAGCGTGAATGCATAACGTTTTGTTGCCTGACAGTCAGTGTCGGTTGTATTCCCCCTCTCAATGTTGTTTATGAATGTCAGACATCTGAATAATACAAGTACAATGTGTTCCTGAGGAAATGGTAGATAAAGGTTTTGCCAACCGAACGCTCGGCGTTTCCGTGGAAGAATATATGTTTGTAAGAGGCGAGTGACTGGATCGTGTGGTCAGGCTCGGTGATTTGTTGTTTGCGTGTCATCGGTGAGATCGATGCTCATGGTGTATGTTGGTAGGCGAGTGACTGGATCGTGTGGTCAGGCTCGGTGATTTGTTGTTTGCGTGTCATCGGTGAGATCGATGTTCATGGTGTATGTTGGTAGGCGAGTGACTGGATCGTGTGGTCAGGCTCGGTGATTTGTTGTTTGCGTGTCATCGGTGAGATCGATGCTCATGGTGTATGTTGGTAGGCGAGTGACTGGATCGTGTGGTCAGGCTCGGTGATTTGTTGTTTGCGTGTCATCGGTGAGATCGATGCTCATGGTGTCTGTCACTGGACTGCCTTGTCCTGCGATTATTTACAGACCGCCGTCAGATAAACATTTTGACTGGCATTTTAGTTAGTAAGTTTAGTAGGTTGTTAAAGAAAAGTAGAGACAATATATTTATGAATGAAAAATTCGTTATTTTATTAATATTGATCATATAGATCCTTGGACTCTTGCTTGACAACTGTATAAGGATCCTAACGTAACCGCCACTCATACTTGACAACGATATAACGATCTATACGGACACGTCACTCTTGCTCGCCAACCGCATAAGGATCTATACCAGAACGTCGTATCATAATAGAATAAAGATCCACAAATATCATGTCTCTGACGACATAAAGCTTGAATATTACTGAGTGCGGCCTTAAATAACAAACCAACCAGCCAACTATTGTTTTCAAATAAAAAGGGTAAACCAAACAACCGAAGACAGCGAAGAAAAAACATCTTCACCTGTGTTGAGTTTAAGGTCAGTCTGTGATATAGAGCAGAGGTTGTTTTGATGAGGTAATGACTTAGTATTTCCCAATACACACACGGCTTTGTATAACATCAGAGAAACGCGGTAGTAAATGACGCTATGTCCACATACTGACACACACACGGCTTTGTATAACATCAGAGAAACGCGGTAGTAAATGACGCTATGTCCACACACTGACACACACACGGCTTTGTATAACATCAGAGAAACGCGGTAGTAAATGACGCTATGTCCACACACTGACACACACACGGCTTTGTATAACATCAGAGAAACGCGGTAGTAAATGACGCTATGTCCACATACTGACACACACACGGCTTTGTATAACATCAGAGAAACGCGGTAGTAAATGACGCTATGTCCACATACTGACACACACACGGCTTTGTTTAACATCAGAGAAACGCGGTAGTAAATGACGCTATGTCCACACACTGACACACACACGGCTTTGTATAACATCAGAGAAACGCGGTAGTAAATGACGCTATGTCCACATACTGACACACACACGGCTGTGAATAACATCAGAGAAACGCGGTAGTAAATGACGCTATGTCCACATACTGACACACACACGGCTTTGTATAACATCAGAGAAACGCGGTAGTAAATGACGCTATGTCCACATACTGACACACATAACGCTATTCTATTGTTTCTTACGAGGCGCCTTCGATGCTTACGATGTCAACCACAGGATGGTCTGGTGCAGACTCGATAACTTCCCGTCATTTATCTGCGACGTTACAAAGAACAAACACGCACACCTTGTTTGTTTGTTGTTTAACGCCGCACCGCAATATTCCACCTATATGACGGCGGTCTGTAAATAATCGAGTCTGGACCAGACAATCCAGTAATTGACATCATGAGCATCGATCCACGCAATTGGGATTGATGACATGCATCAACCAAGTCAGCGAGCCGGACCACCCGATCCCGACAAGCTTGGTTGCTGAAGACCTATTCTACCCCGGATCTTCAGGCGTCAACATCCTCTCACATGGACGGACGGAATACAGAATGTCGCTACATTTATCCCCACATAGCGGGTCTATTTCTCCAGGTTACAATACTTTTTTTTTAAAATAAATTTTAAAAAAACGCTGTACACTTAGTGTGTGACAATCTAGTCACGTGTTGATGATCTTTTCAGGTACGACGTCGGTAACTCCCCAAGTGACATCTCCGTGGAGTGTATCATTCGGGGTCATCCGGCCCGCTTTGACCGGAATGACGTAACACTTGACCTGGTTGACCTGGACAATCTGGACGTCACATACGGGCCACATGAGGAGCTGATTAGTCACGTGGTCAAGCTGAAGTCACCCAAGGGCGACGACAACGACTTGGAGGTAGGACTTTGTGGCGTCACTGTGCGCCAACACTTAGACGTCACTTGTCTTGACATTATTCAGAGAGGGGTAGGATTACCGAAACTGGGACTGGCTGTGTAATAATGTTGTTTGCATGCTTATACAGTCATATATTACCACCTCAATAAATCTTTGAATATTGCAGAATACGCCATTCCCACCTCTAAATCGACGAACACTTACCGCGTTGTTTAACTGTTCTCACTGAAATAAACACACAATTAAAAGTGTGAGTGAGTATGATTTTACGCCGCTTTTAGCAATATTCCAGCAATATCACGGCGGGGGAGACCGGGAAATGGGCTTCACACATTGTACCCATGTTGGGAATTGAATCCAGGTCCTCGTCGGTTACGAGCGAACGCTTTAACCACTAGGCTACCCGGCCGCCCCGCTCATAGGGAAGACATTAAACAAAGGTATCAACCATCGACAACGCTGTTCTTTATCTATGTAGTTCTAAGGTATTTACAGAATGTACACACACCTTTCATAGCTCTATCGAACGTTAATGTTTAATAACACCCCACTCCAGGCATATTTACAGAACTCATTGAGCAGTTCGTGTACACACTAGACTCGAGGAAGGATACGACCCAGGGCTATAGCAGTGGAGTGTTAGGCAATACTCCTATCAAACCACTTAACACACATCAGAACTAGACTCGAGGAAGGATACGACCCAGGGCTATAGCAGTGGAGTGTTAGGCAATACTCCCACCAAACTACTTAACACACATCAGAACCCCTCCGTTCACCACGGGCCTTACCGACACCACTTCCATCTTATTCGTTACAACAGTGTTGATATTGGTCGTCAATGGCAACGCAGAGAGGCCTCGAGACATATTAGTGAGATCCCAGGTTAGGTCAAAATGATGATTATTCATTTGGGATCATAAATATGTTGATCTGCACATATGAAAGCCGCAGTGAAATGACGTTACTTGTTTAATGATGTGAGATATTATTGTACTCCTTTTTGAATTATTAATGAATGCTGGACCTTTGTTGTGTGTCAGGTTCAAACGGCAATGATTGTGTTTTAAGTCAGATGTTAGATGCAAAATATCAGTTATATCTACAAGTCATAATTACTCTCAAACGTAAAACTGATATTTCCGTTAAACAATATCTGACTGGTTAGTCATCGCCTTGTGGAAATCTAGGAAAGTCCATCAGTCTCCCATGACGTCACATAATTAATGGTACGTAACTGGCAAAATATGCAGACATATATCTAGGAAGGCATTTAACATAGTCTGTCATTGCAGCAGGTTTGCAGATGTAGAAAGGGACTTGTTTTAGCGCGGTTCCATTTCAGTTTCAGCTCTGACTGACATTGTCAAAATGGTATTGTGTTTTAGCGCGGCTCCTGTCCAGTTTCAGCTCTGACTGACATTGTCAAAATGGTATAGTGTTTCAGCGCGGCTCCTGTCCAGTTTCAGCTCTGACTGACATTGTCAAAATGGTATTGTGTTTCAGCGCGGCTCCTGTCCAGTTTCAGCTCTGACTGACATTGTCAAAATGGTATAGTGTTTCAGCGCGGCTCCTGTCCAGTTTCAGCTCTGACTGACATTGTCAAAATGGTATAGTGTTTCAGCGCGGCTCCTGTCCAGTTTCAGCTCTGACTGACATTGTCAAAATGGTATAGTGTTTCAGCGCGGCTCCTGTCCAGTTTCAGCTCTGACTGACATTGTCAAAATGGTATAGTGTTTCAGCGCGGCTCCTGTCCAGTTTCAGCTCTGACTGACATTGTCAAAATGGTATAGTGTTTCAGCGCGGCTCCTGTCCAGTTTCAGCTCTGACTGACATTGTCAAAATGGTATAGTGTTTCAGCGCGGCTCCTGTCCAGTTTCAGCTCTGACTGACATTGTCAAAATGGTATAGTGTTTCAGCGCGGCTCCTGTCCAGTTTCAGCTCTGACTGACATTGTCAAAATGGTATAGTGTTTCAGCGCGGCTCCTGTCCAGTTTCAGCTCTGACTGACATTGTCAAAATGGTATAGTGTTTCAGCGCGGCTCCTGTCCAGTTTCAGCTCTGACTGACATTGTCAAAATGGTATTGTGTTTCAGCGCGGCTCCTGTCCAGTTTCAGCTCTGACTGACATTGTCAAAATGGTATAGTGTTTCAGCGCGGCTCCTGTCCAGTTTCAGCTCTGACTGACATTGTCAAAATGGTATAGTGTTTCAGCGCGGCTCCTGTCCAGTTTCAGCTCTGACTGACATTGTCAAAATGGTATAGTGTTTCAGCGCGGCTCCTGTCCAGTTTCAGCTCTGACTGACATTGTCAAAATGGTATAGTGTTTCAGCGCGGCTCCTGTCCAGTTTCAGCTCTGACTGACATTGTCAAAATGGTATAGTGTTTCAGCGCGGCTCCTGTCCAGTTTCAGCTCTGACTGACATTGTCAAAATGGTATAGTGTTTCAGCGCGGCTCCTGTCCAGTTTCAGCTCTGACTGACATTGTCAAAATGGTTTTGTGTTTTCTTCAAGTGCCATGGTAGGAGATACCCTGAATTTTGTTCTAATAAGATAAGAGTACAAGAACACATTTCCATCGATCAGTTCGTGCGGGATACATCGTTGCGGTAATTTCTTGGAACATAGAGTAGTAGTATTTCTTTCAAAACACAATTTTGGCACTCGACGCTACCGTTCTTCAGTCCGCCGCCATGGAACTGACATTGCTGTTGAACCCAAAGCACTCTCTCACACACTTAATCTTCGCAACCATGGGAAGCGTGAATGAAATGAAACATTGCTCGGTCCTACAGCCATGATGGTCACACACAACCAAATGCTTTCCCAAAGTATATAGTAACGTTATACAAAGTAAGTATTGAACAGCTATTACCTATATGTGTGTGCACAGCAGCAATGAAATACATGATTAGCCTTGCCATCTCCGTTTCCCTATACAGGAAGCTAAACACACCACCCCCAGTTCCGCACCAAATGTCATTTGCTTGAAAATATAATTATTCATCATGTTGAAAATGACAGCACTAAATATATGTATAAAACAAAAACAAAAAAAACAAAAAAACATGGGCAGTTTTGATTATTGAATGGGTGTACATTTTAAAAATATAAAATTCTTACACAAAATCATCCAATCACAGCTGCCAAATGATTCAATCTGCACTGAAGACAACCGTTTTTTGAACGACTGATTGTGATTTGTCGATTAGAACCTGATGCTTGTATGACGTCAGTTGTTTATCATCTCCCTTGCCCACCAGGAGGCGCTGTACGTTGCCCTGCCGCACCTGTTGACCCGAGCGTCGGCTGCGTCACGAGAGGCCGTCATCAAGGCGGAGATAGACGGCCAGTGGCGGGAACTCCCGACAAGGGAGGTAACCTTTGAAAACCATAAGGTGAGTCGATGCATTCAAGGTTACATATGCTAACAAGGATAAGTTAATTGTTTATCAATCTGAACAACGAAACCCGGCACCTTTCATGTTTATGGTGTCACAGATAAAGATAGGAATACATTGCAAGTTATTCCATGCAACTAGTTTTTCCTTCAGGCTTCCATAGCTGAACAATATTTAGGCTACACCCACTACAGTTTCCTGACCAGCTGATAATGAAGTGGGCGGAACTTTTGTATTCTTGCTCTAAACGACGTCACTAGTTTAGTTGCGTTGATTACAGTTTTTTTAGTAACTGATTAAATAAACAGTTTGTGAAGTTATCATTCTTAACTTATTTATTGTTTAGCATTCAATATATATAGTTTTTATATAGATTTACTGAAAGTGTGAAAGTCAGCACCGGGTTTACTATTTTTCCTTCACAAACGCAGTTGTATTAATTAAAGTCAAGTCTGAAATAAGATAGAAAAATTCCCCTCATTGTGTAACAGGTATTCTAGAGCAAAATACAACGTTTATGAAATACCTAATATCTTGATCACATAACATGACGATTGTTATGGTAATTGGATTATCCTGTAGGTTTCTGCGCATGTCCCGAATGCGTATTTACTGAAGCTAATAAAACTATTACAGGATCTGAAGTTCTCTCAAGCTGAAGTGAAAAATCTTACGACGCTTCTCGTAATGTCACGATTCAAACGAGACTTTGTGACGTTAACAAAGCGGTCAGCAAAAGTGATGTCATCGTACGACCATCGGGTAACAATGGTCATACCACGTGACACCTTCTTTGGCAAGGAACATTTCTTAATGCAGGTAGGTGATTAACTTTATGACATCCCAATCCAATTTTGAGTTGATTGTTTCTGTTGAACTTGAAGTACATATTATTCATATTAAATATATTTTACCTGATGATGTTTTGGAGTTTCGCAACAACAAGCTGTGCTATCGTTTGTGATTGTACCCTGCCTGTTATTCACGGTGTATGGAGTTTCACTGTCATCTGGTACAGGTTCAGCCAGTAGATTCTGCCTCAGTTCATGACTTCCGGTTGCGGGATGCGCGTGCGAAGGGTTTGCTGACATCCAGTCCGGTCGTATACATGGACTGGGAGACGAACGAGCTGCAGAAACCCATCTCTGTAAGTTCCACATCCTTCACTTTTCAATCCTGGACACAGAAACCCATCTCTGTAAGTTCCCCTTCCTTCACATCCAAGTCCTGAACACAAAAACCCATCTCTGTAAGTTCCCCATCCTTCACATCCAAGTCCTGAACACAGAAACCCATCTCTGTAAGTTCCCCATCCTTTACAACCAAGTCCTGAACACAGAAACCCATCTCTGTAAGATCCCCATCCTTTACAACCTAGTCCTGAACACAGAAACCCATCTCTGTAAGTTCCCCATCCTTCACATCCAAGTCCTGAACACAGAAACCCATCTCTGTAAGTTCCCCATCCTTCACATCCAAGTCCTGAACACAGAAACCCATCTCTGTAAGTTCCCCATCCTTCACATCCAAGTCCTGAACACAGAAACCCATCTCTGTAAGTTCCCCATCCTTCACATCCAAGTCCTGAACACAGAAACCTATCTCTGTAAGATCCCCATCCTCCACATCCAAGTCCCGAACACAGAAACCCATCTCTGTAAGTTCCCCATCCTTCACATCCAAGTCCTGAACACAGAAACTCATCTCTGTAAGTTCCCCATCCTTCACATCCAAGTCCTGGACACAGAAACCCACCTCTGTAAGTTCCCCATCCTTCACATCCAAGTCCTGAACACAGAAACCCATCTCTGTAAGTTTACCATCCTTCACATCCAAGTCCTGGACACAGAAACCCATCTCTGTAAGTTCCCCATCCTTCCCAACCAAGTCCTGAACACAGAAACCCATCTCTGTAAGTTCCCCATCCTTCACATCCAAGTCCTGGACACAGAAACCCATCTCTGTAAGTTCCCCATCCTTCACATCCAAGTCCTGGACACAGAAACCCATCTCTGTAAGTTCCCCATCCTCCACATCCAAGTCCTGAACACAGAAACCCATCTCTGTAAGTTCCCCATCCTTCACATCCAAGTCCTGAACACAGAAACCCATCTCTGTAAGTTCCCCATCCTTCACATCCAAGTCCTGAACACAGAAACCCATCTCTGTAAGTTCCCCATCCTTCACATCCAAGTCCTGAACACAGAAACCCATCTCTGTAAGTTCCCCATCCTTCACATCCAAGTCCTGAACACAGAAACCTATCTCTGTAAGTTCCCCATCCTCCACATCCAAGTCCTGAAACACAGAAACCCACCTCTGTAAGTTCCCCATCCCTCACATCCAAGTCCTGAACACAGAAACCCATCTCTGTAAGTTCCCCATCCTTCACATCCAAGTCCTGAACACAGAAACTCATCTCTGTAAGTTCCCCATCCTTCACATCCAAGTCCTGGACACAGAAACCCACCTCTGTAAGTTCCCCATCCTTCACATCCAAGTCCTGAACACAGAAACCCATCTCTGTAAGTTTACCATCCTTCACATCCAAGTCCTGGACACACAAACCCATCTCTGTAAGTTCCCCATCCTTCACATCCAAGTCCTCAACACAGAAACCCATCTCTGTAAGTTCCCCATCCTCCACATCCAAGTCCTGAACACAGAAACCCATCTCTGTAAGTTCCCCATCCTTCACATCCAAGTCCTGGACACAGAAACCCATCTCTGTAAGTTCCCCATCCTTCACATCCAAGTCCTGAACACAAAAACCCATCTCTGTAAGTTCCCCATCCTTCATATCCAAGTCCTGGACACAGAAACCCATCTCTGTAAGTTCCCCATCCTTCACATCCAAGTCCTGAACGCAGAAACCCATCTCTGTAAGTTCCCCATCCTTCACATCCAAGTCCTGAACACAGAAACCTATCTCTGTAAGTACCACATCCTTCACATCCAAGTCCTGAACACAAACCATCTCTCTAAGTTCCCCATCCTTGACATCTAAGTCCTGAACACAGAAACCCATCTCTGTAAGTACCACATTCTTTACATCCAAGTCCTGGACACAGAAACCCACCTCTGTAAGTTCCCCATCCTTCACATCCAAGTCCTGAACACAGAAACCCATCTCTGTAAGTTCCCCATCCTTCACATCCAAGTCCTGAACGCAGAAACCCATCTCTGTAAGTTCCCCATCCTTCACATCGAAGTCCTGGACAACCGAAACCCATCTCTGTAAGTTCCCCATCCTTCACATCCAAGTCCTGAACACAAACCATCTCTGTAAGTTCCCCATCCTTCACATCCAAGTCCTGAACACAGAAACCCATCTCTGTAAGTTCCCCATCCTTCACATCCAAGTCCTGAACGCAGAAACCCATCTCTGTAAGTTCCCCATCCTTCACATCGAAGTCCTGGACAACCGAAACCCATCTCTGTAAGTTTACCATCCTTCACATCCAAGTCCTGAACACAAACCATCTCTGTAAGTTCCCCATCCTTCACATCCAAGTCCTGAACGCAGAAACCCATCTCTGTAAGTTCCCCATCCTTCACAACCAAGTCCTGAACACAGAAACCCATCTCTGTAAGTACCACATCCTTCACATCCAAGTCCTGAACACAGAAACCCACCTCTGTAAGTTCCCCATCCTCCACATCCAAGTCCTGAACACAGAAACCAATCTCTGTAAGTTCCCCATCCTTCACATCCAAGTCCTGAACGCAGAAACCCATCTCTGTAAGTTCCCCATCCTTCACATCCAAGTCCTGGACAATCGAAACCCATCTCTGTAAGTTCCCCATCCTTCACATCCAAGTCCTGAACACAGAAACCAATCTCTGTAAGTTCCCCATCCTCCACATCCAAGTCCTGAACACAGAAACCCATCTCTGTAAGTTCCCCATCCTTCACATCCAAGTCCTGAACACAGAAACCCATCTCTGTAAGTTCCCCATCCTTCACATCCAAGTCTTCAACACAGAAACCCATCTCTGTAAGTTCCCCATCCTTCACATCCAAGTCCTGAACACATAAACCCATCTCTGTAAGTACCACATCCTTCACATCCAAGTCCTGAACACAAACCATCTCTCTAAGTTCCCCATCCTTCACATCCAAGTCCTGAACACAGAAACCCATCTCTGTAAGTTCCCCATCCTTCACATCCAAGTCCTGGACACAGAAACCCATCTCTGTAAGTTCCCCATCCTTCACATCCGAGTCCTGAACACAGAAACCCATCTCTGTAAGTTCCCCATCCTTCACATCCAAGTCCTGGACAAGAGAAACCCATCTCTGTAAGTTCCCCATCCTTCACATCCAAGTCCTGAACACAGAAACCAATCTCTGTAAGTTCCCCATCCTTCACATCCAAGTCCTGAACACAGAAACCCATCTCTGTAAGTTCCCCATCCTTCACATCCAAGTCCTGAACACAGAAACCAATCTCTGTAAGTTCCCCATCCTTCACATCCAAGTCCTGAACACAGAATCCAATCTCTGTAAGTTCCCCATCCTTCACATCCAAGTCCTGAACACAGAAACCCATCTCTGTAAGTTCCCCATCCTCCACATCCAAGTCCTCAACACAGAAACCAATCTCTGTAAGTTCCCCATCCTTCACATCCAAGTCCTGGACACAGAAACCATCTCTGTAAGTTCCCCATCCTTCACATCCAAGTCCTGAACGCAGAAACCCATCTCTGTAAGTTCCCCATCCTTCACATCCAAGTCCTCAACACAGAAACCAATCTCTGTAAGTTCCCCATCCTTCACATCCAAGTCCTGGACACAGAAACCATCTCTGTAAGTTCCCCATCCTTCACATCCCTGTTTTGAAACCAATCTCTGTCAGCTTGCCCTGTCCCCCCAGCATTATATACCCATGTTTTAGGTCAGCTTGCCCTGTCCCCCCAGCATTATATACCTATGTTTTAGGTCAGCTTGCCCTGTCCCCCCAGCATTATATACCCATGTTTTAGGTCAGCTTGCCCTGTCCCCCCAGCTTTATATACCCATGTTTTAGGTCAGCTTGCCCTGTCCCCCCAGCATTATATACCCATGTTTTAGGTCAGCTTGCCCTGTCCCCCCAGCATTATATACCCATGTTTTAGGTCAGCTTGCCCTGTCCCCCCAGCATTATATACCCATGTTTTAGGTCAGCTTGCCCTGTCCCCCCAGCATTATATACCCATGTTTTAGGTCAGCTTGCCCTGTCCTCCCAGCATTACATACCCATGTTTTAGGTCAGCTTGCCCTGTCCCCCCAGCATTATATACCCATGTTTTAGGTCAGCTTGCCCTGTCCCCCCAGCATTATATACCCATGTTTTAGGTCAGCTTGCCCTGTCCCCCCAGCATTATATACCCATGTTTTAGGTCAGCTTGCCCTGTCCTCCCAGCATTATATACCCATGTTTTAGGTCAGCTTGCCCTGTCCCCCCAGCATTATATACCCATGTTTTAGGTCAGCTTGCCCTGTCCCCCCAGCATTATATACCCATGTTTTAGGTCAGCTTGCCCTGTCCCCCCAGCATTATATACCCATGTTTTAGGTCAGCTTGCCCTGTCCCCCCAGCATTATATACCCATGTTTTAGGTCAGCTTGCCCTGTCCCCCCAGCATTATATACCCATGTTTTAGGTCAGCTTGCCCTGTCCCCCCAGCATTATATACCCATGTTTTAGGTCAGCTTGCCCTGTCCCCCCAGCATTATATACCCATGTTTTAGGTCAGCTTGCCCTGTCCCCCCAGCATTATATACCCATGTTTTAGGTCAGCTTGCCCTGTCCCCCCAGCATTATATACCCATGTTTTAGGTCAGCTTGCCCTGTCCCCCCAGCATTATATACCCATGTTTTAGGTCAGCTTGCCCTGTCCTCCCAGCATTATATACCCATGTTTTAGGTCAGCTTGCCCTGTCCTCCCAACCCCGCCAAGGCGAAGAAACTCGCCCAGATCCGGAAGCTGAAGGAGGAGAAGATGAAAAACCCTGTCCGCGTCGTCCCTGTCACCATCGAGGAGGAAGAGAGGGAGAAGGAGAGGAAGAGGCTGCAGATGGCCGATGGGGAGGAGAAGAAACAGGGCCACAACAAATGGTACATGGGCGAGTACGGAGCTTCAGATGGTACGTGGTAGTTTGGGGTGCCAACCAGATCCCCATCCTTTGTCACAGCGCACTATACACGATATGTCTGTTGGTGTTACAAACCCTTAACAAACTGTAATAGAAAATAAGGTCAATATGTGTCGAGCTGTATGATCGTGTAAGGTGTGGGTGTGGCTGTTGATAGTGTCGATTCCCTTTGTCACAGCGCACTATACACGATATGTCTGTTGGTGTTACAAACCCTTAACAAATTGTAAAAAACAACAACGTCAATATGTATCGAGCTGTTTGATCGTGTAAGGTATGGGTGTGGCTGTTGTTACGTGTCGATTCTCAAAGTGAAACGATATGTTCATCCAGAAATCTATACGTAAAAGAACAAGTGGTATACAAGTAGGAATTGTATTACAAACTTAGCTAGGTTAACACATCAATACAAATTACTGCACATCAATTACAATGGCAATACACAATAAAGTGGTAAAACAAAAGTCAGTGACAGTATAATATAAGGGTAACGCTATTTTTCAGGGCATTATCATTTGCAGAAGCCCGATGTCTCCTGCGTCGGGCAGTTGAAAAGACCGAGGGTTTCTGCAAATGATAATGCCCTGAAAAATAGCATTACCGTTATTATAGCTGAAATGGATGGAATTTGGTTTTGAAACATTTACTGCAACCAACACGACTGACCCACTTTTACAAATATGGAACGTCATAGAATAAACCAGATGACGACACTATTGAACGTGACGTCGCCTATCCCTATCCTATGACCTCACCTAACAACGGGCGTGATAATGACCCGTCGTCAAGCAATATGAGGGCATTATCAAGTTACAGTTGCCCGCTATCTATCCATTTTAGCTATAAAATATGATAGTAGTGGTCAGTATCAAATAAATAAATACATTGGTGATATCTCAGTTATCGACGTAGGTCAAGCTTCCGAGAAAGGCCCAGGTTGGGAATCAGGGGTGATGAGTGATCTTCCCACGAAAGTTGACCTTGATTAGAGACGAAATGTGTCAGAGACACGTTAGCACGCTCTTGTCCCGTTAGGTACAGTCCAGCTAGCTACTCGAAATGTCCACACAGTGCCATCACCAGACATGTTTCTGTAACCCTTAGGTACAGTCCAGCTAGCTACTCGAAATGTCCACACAGTGCCATCACCAGACATGTTTCTGTAACCCTAAGAAATAGTCCAGCTAGCTACTCGAAATGTCCACACAGTGCCATCACCAGACATGTTTCTGTAACCCTTAGGTACAGTCCAGCTAGCTACTCGAAATGTCCACACAGTGCCATCACCAGACATGTTTCTGTAACCCTTAGGTACAGTCCAGCTAGCTACTCGAAATGTCCACACAGTGCCATCACCAGACATGTTTCTGTAACCCTAAGATATAGTCCAGCTAGCTACTCGAAATGTCCACACAGGGCCATCACCAGACATGTTTCTGTAACCCTTAGATACAGTCCAGCTAGCATCTCGAAATGTCCACACAGTGCCATCTCCAGACATGTTTCTGTAACCCTTAGATACAGTCCAGCTAGCATCTCGAAATGTCCACACAGTGCCATCTCCAGACATGTTTCTGTAACCCTTAGGTACAGTCCAGCTAGCTACTCGAAATGTCCACACAGTGCCATCACCAGACATGTTTCTGTAACCCTTAGGTACAGTCCAGCTAGCTACTCGAAATGTCCACACAGGGCCATCACCAGACATGTTTCTGTAACCCTTAGATACAGTCCAGCTAGCATCTCGAAATGTCCACACAGTGCCATCTCCAGACATGTTTCTGTAACCCTAAGATACAGTCCAGCTAGCTACTCGAAATGTCCACACAGGGCCATCACCAGACATGTTTCTGTAACCCTAAGATATAGTCCAGCTAGCATCTCGAAATGTCCACACAGTGCCATCACCAGACATGTTTCTCTAACCCTTAGGTACAGTCCAGCTAGCTACTCGAAATGTCCACACAGGGCCATCACCAGACATGTTTCTGTAACCCTTAGATACAGTCCAGCTAGCATCTCGAAATGTCCACACAGTGCCATCTCCAGACATGTTTCTGTAACCCTAAGATACAGTCCAGCTAGCTACTCGAAATGTCCACACAGTGCCATCACCAGACATGTTTCTGTAACCCTAAGATATAGTCCAGCTAGCATCTCGAAATGTCCACACAGTGCCATCACCAGACATGTTTCTCTAACCCTTAGGTACAGTCCAGCTAGCTACTCGAAATGTCCACACAGGGCCATCACCAGACATGTTTCTGTAACCCTTAGATACAGTCCAGGTAGCTACTCGAAATGTCCACACAGGGCCATCACCAGACATGTTTCTGTAACCCTTAGGTACAGTCCAGCTAGCTACTCGAAATGTCCACACAGTGTCATCACCAGACATGTTTCTGTAACCCTTTAGATACAGTCCAGCTAGCTACTCGAAATGTCCACACAGTGCCATCACCAGACATGTTTCTGTAACCCTTAGGTACAGTCCAGCTAGCATCTCGAAATGTCCACACAGGGCCATCACCAGACATGTTTCTGTAACCCTTAGATACAGTCCAGCTAGCTACTCGAAATGTCCACACAGTGCCATCACCAGACATGTTTCTGTAACCCTTAGATACAGTCCAGCTAGCTACTCGAAATGTCCACACAGTGCCATCACCAGACATGTTTCTGTAACCCTTAGATACAGTCCAGCTAGCATCTCGAAATGTCCACACAGTGCCATCACCAGACATGTTTCTGTAACCCTTAGATACAGTCCAGCTAGCTACTCGAAATGTCCACACAGTGCCATCACCAGACATGTTTCTGTAACCCTTAGATACAGTCCAGCTAGCTACTCGAAATGTCCACACAGTGCCATCAACAGACATGTTTCTGTAACCCTCAGGTACAGTCCAGCTAGCTACTCGAAATGTCCACACAGGGCCATCACCAGACATGTTTCTGTAACCCTTAGATACAGTCCAGCTAGCTACTCGAAATGTCCACACAGTGCCATCACCAGACATGTTTCTGTAACCCTTAGGTACAGTCCAGCTAGCTACTCGAAATGTCCACACAGTGCCATCACCAGACATGTTTCTGTAACTCGTAGTCCACCGTATTCCGGAAGTTTACATAGCACACTTGCATCTAAATATAGAAGCTCCCTCAAAAGTGCTAACATGAAACAACACTACATTCCTGAGAACTAATCACTATGCAAAGGCAATGCAATGAGCGTCTACCGAATCTCAACAGAAACAATATAAAATAACTTACAATCACTGTTCAGCAATAAAATACGCTGTCATATAACACTGTTGTGTACTATATTGATGAGGCTATTGTTTTGAATATGTTAGTGACTGTAGTATCTGATATGTATATGTTTTCGATGTGACTGTTGTATGTGTATGCGAGATATTGACTGTTGTATCCGACATGGATGTGACTGTTGTATTGTGTACAGATGTGACTGTCGTATTGTGCACAGATGTCACTGTTGTATGTGGCTGTAGTGTGAGATATTGACTGTTGTATCCGACATGGATGTGACTGTTGTATTGTGTACAGATGTCACTGTCGTATTGTGCACAGATGTGACTGTTGTATGTGGCTGTAATGTGAGATATTGACTGTTGTATCCGACATGGATGTGACTGTCGTATTGTGCACAGATGTGACTGTTGTATGTGGCTGTAATGTGAGATATTGACTGTTGTATCCGACATGGATGTGACTGTTGTATTGTGTACAGGTGTCACTGTTGTATGTGGCTGTAATGTGAGATATTGACTGTTGTATCCGACATGGATGTGACTGTTGTATTGTGTACAGATGTCACTGTTGTATGTGGCTGTAATGTGAGATATTGACTGTTGTATCCGACATGGATGTGACTGTTGTATTGTGTACAGATGTCACTGTTGTATGTGGCTGTAATGTGAGATATTGACTGTTGTATCCGACATGGATGTGACTGTTGTATTGTGTACAGATGTCACTGTTGTATGTGGCTGTAATGTGAGATATTGACTGTTGTATCCGACATGGATGTGACTGTTGTATTGTGTACAGATGTCACTGTTGTATGTGGCTGTAGTGTGAGATATTGACTGTTGTATCCAACATGGATGTGACTGTTGTATTGTGTACAGATGTGACTGTTGTATGTGTATGCGAGATATTGACTGTTGTATCCGACATGGATGTGACTGTTGTATTGTGTACAGATGTCACTGTTGTATGTGGCTGTAATGCGAGATATTTACTGTTGTATCCGACATGGATGTGACTGTTGTATTGTGTACAGATGTCACTGTTGTATGTGGCTGTAATGTGAGATATTGACTGTTGTATCCGACATGGATGTGACTGTTGTATCCGACATGGATGTGACTGTTGTATGTGGCTGTAATGTGAGATATTGACTGTTGTATCCGACATGGATGTGACTGTTGTATTGTGTACAGATGTGACTGTTGTTCGTGGCTGTAATGTGAGATATTGACTGTTGTATCCGACATGGATGTGACTGTTGTATTGTGTACAGATGTGACTGTTGTATTGTGTACAGATGTCACTGTTGTATGTGGCTGTAATGTGAGATATTGACTGTTGTATCTGACATGGATGTGACTGTTGTATTGTGTACAGATGTGACTGTTGTATGTGGCTGTAATGTGAGATATTGACTGTTGTATCCGACATGGATGTGACTGTTGTATTGTGTACAGATGTGACTGTTGTATTGTGTACAGATGTCACTGTTGTATGTGGCTGTAATGTGAGATATTGACTGTTGTATCTGACATGGATGTGACTGTTGTATTGTGTACAGATGTCACTGTTGTATGTGGCTGTAATGTGAGATATTGACTGTTGTATCCGACATGGATGTGACTGTTGTATTGTGTACAGATGTCACTGTTGTATGTGGCTGTAATGTGAGATATTGACTGTTGTATCCGACATGGATGTGACTGTTGTATTGTGTACATATGTGACTGTTGTATGTGGCTGTAATGTGATATATTGACTGTTGTATCCGACATGGATGTGACTGTTGTATTGTGTACAGATGTGACTGTTGTATTGTGTACAGATGTCACTGTTGTATGTGGCTGTAATGTGAGATATTGACTGTTGTATCCGACATGGATGTGACTGTTGTATTGTGTACAGATGTGACTGTTGTATGTGGCTGTAATGTGAGATATTGACTGTTGTATCCGACATGGATGTGACTGTTGTATTGTGTACAGATGTGACTGTTGTATGTGGCTGTAATGTGAGATATTGACTGTTGTATCCGACATGGATGTGACTGTTGTATTGTGTACAGATGTGACTGTTGTATGTGGCTGTAATGTGAGATATTGACTGTTGTATCCGACATGGATGTGACTGTTGTATTGTGTACAGATGTGACTGTTGTATTGTGTACAGATGTCACTGTTGTATGTGGCTGTAATGTGAGATATTGACTGTTGTATCCGACATGGATGTGACTGTTGTATTGTGTACAGATGTCACTGTTGTATGTGGCTGTAATGTGAGATATTGACTGTTGTATCCGACATGGATGTGACTGTTGTATTGTGTACAGATGTCACTGTTGTATGTGGCTGTAATGTGAGATATTGACTGTTGTATCCGACATGGATGTCACTGTTGTATTGTGTACAGATGTGACTGTTGTATGTGGCTGTAATGTGAGATATTGACTGTTGTATCCGACATGGATGTGACTGTTGTATTGTGTACAGATGTGACTGTTGTATGTGGCTGTAATGTGAGATATTGACTGTTGTATCCGACATGGATGTGACTGTTGTATTGTGTACAGATGTCACTGTTGTATGTGGCTGTGATGTGAGATATTGACTGTTGTATCCGACATGGATGTGACTGTTGTATTGTGTACAGATGTGACTGTTGTATGTGGCTGTAATGTGAGATATTGACTGTTGTATCCGACATGGATGTGACTGTTGTATTGTGTACAGATGTGACTGTTGTATGTGGCTGTAATGTGAGATATTGACTGTTGTATCCGACATGGATGTGACTGTTGTATTGTGTACAGATGTGACTGTTGTATTGTGTACAGATGTGACTGTTGTATGTGGCTGTAATGTGAGATATTGACTGTTGTATCCGACATGGATGTGACTGTTGTATTGTGTACAGATGTCACTGTTGTATGTGGCTGAAATGTGATATATTGACTGTTGTATCCGACATGGATGTGACTGTTGTATTGTGTACAGATGTCACTGTTGTATGTGGCTGTAATGTGAGATATTGACCGTTGTCCAGATGACGAGAATGACCTGCTGTTCTTCCTGTCCCACGCTTACGGACGATGGTCAGTGCAACCAGACGTCGCCATATCCCAGGCTAAACTTGACCTGTTGACCTTTGCCATTACCAAGCCATACGACAGGTAAACAACTCACACCCATCAGGGAACCAATTATCTTCATCACAACAATTATTCTCACCCAACTGATTACACTCATTATAGGGAAAATCAATGTCCCCATTCCATGTAAACTGTGTAACGAAGCCTGACGCTAGTACCCCCTGCATGGGTCGGTATGCTTAGTTTGTGAACAATACTCACATTGATGCAGGTCATAGAGGGTCAGCACTCACATTGATGCAGGTCATAGAGGGTCAGCACTCACATTGATGCAGGTCATAGAGGGTCGGCACTCACATTGATGCAGGTCATAGAGGGTCAGCACTCACATTGATGCAGGTCATAGAGGGTCAGCACTCACATTGATGCAGGTCATAGAGGGTCGGCACTCACATTGATGCAGGTCATAGAGGGTCAGCACTCACATTGATGCAGGTCATAGAGGGTCAGCACTCACATTGATGCGGGTCATAGAGGGTCGGCACTCACATTGATGCAGGTCATAGAGGGTCAGCACTCACATTGATGCAGGTCATAGAGGGTCAGCACTCACATTGATGCAGGTCATAGAGGGTCAGCACTCACATTGATGCAGGTCATAGAGGGTCAGCACTCACATTGATGCAGGTCATAGAGGTTTAGCACTTGAGATAAATTCACAAACGCGTGAAAGATGGTTATAAACCAAGCACATAAACCAGGACGGCTTTGGGATTCGAACTCCATCAGTGGATCCTGGCACAGTTGCTGCTTGATTAACAAACTGCGTCACCTCAGACCAGCCTCACCCCCGATCGCTTGGCGTTCGAACCGGCAACAGGACGTTGTAGCCAAGTGGACGTTATAACGATCGTGGTAAAGGCGTTGTAACAACAAGAACATATGTGATCAGACTCCAGACTGACTGAGTGAGTATGGTTTTATGCCGCTTTTAGCAATATTCGAGCAATATCACGGCGGGGACTCCAGAAATGGGCTTCACACATTGTACCCATGTCAAGAATCGATCCCGGGTTTCAGGATGACGAGCGAACGCTTTAACTACAAGGCTACCCTACCGCCCCTGAGAGTACATGATCTCATATTCATTGAGTAGCATTACGTTGATGACGTGTCGGGGCTTGAGGAACATTTCTACTGTATGCTCCATAACAAACCGGCATGAACAGACACGGTTTAGAACAACGCGGGGGGGCACGGGTGGCCAAGTCGTCTAAGGCGCCGCCATTCGCTGTGCAGAGTTGCGTCCCTTGGGCACGCCAGAAACCTATGATTGTGGTTTCGAATCCCGGTTCGCCCCGATTATGTTTCTAGGTTTGTCAGCACCAGACCCGTACTCGTGGGTTTCACCGAAGTGGTAAACGTCTAAGACCTGCATCACTTCGGGCTTTCCTCCCACATTAAGCTGACATGCCGTGATATGACTGGAATAAAAGCGGCGTTAAACCCAACTCACTCACTCACTCACTAGTACAACGCGAGCTCATTGCATGGATATCGGATAATATTTGTGACATTTATTTTCTCCTTCTGTTTAAAGGTTCATGGTGATCCGGACCAGAGCCAATATTGTGGATGAGATGGCTGTTTCCATAGCAACAGGACTCCACGACTACCTCTCAAAGAGATATGTCCAGATCGTGATGAAACAAAGGTATTGTCTGGCGTGATCCCGCTTAACACCGCCCGACAAGAGGGGGACTGGGAGGGAGGGGATGTGTGAATGGGGAGGAAGAGATATGTCCAGATCGTGATGAAACAAAGGTATTGTCTGGCATGATCTCGCTTCAACACCGACCGACAAGAGGGGGACTGGGAGGGAGGGGATGTGTGAATGGGGAGGAAGAGATACGTCCAGATCGTGATGAAACAAAGGTATTGTCTGATCTCGCTTAAACACCGCCCGACAAGAGGGGGACTGGGAAGGAGGGGATGTGTGAATGGGGAGGAAGAGATATGTCCAGATCGTGATGAAACAAAGGTATTGTCTGATCTCGCTTAAACACCGCCCGACAAGAGGGGGACTGGGAGGGAGGGGATGTGTGAATGGGGAGGAGGAGGGTCTGGGATTGTTTTGAAACACAGTTTTGTTTTGTCCTCAGACTCTACCACCAAAATAATTTGTAAACTCGACATCCTGGGTCTTGTAAACAACATAGGCTCATCCTTCCTTAAACGTTTAGACGCTTTTTTTGAATCAGTAAAACCGGTAAAAAAATACCTGGCTCTGAACAAACTTCCTAGCCAGCCTAAGCACCTCCGCCATCGCCCAGACCCTCGTCTCAATACCGATTAGTGCGTCCCTTAATAAACACCGAATTCAGACGTTCTTGCAAACGATATGTACTTCAAAAATATATTAAAGAACTAGGGCATGTTACTATGGCATGATGGATTAACTATGGTCAAATGTGCAAATTGGGTGTTATTTAACTTAATCTGAGTGGTATAGTATTCATTCCAGCTTATGACTGAGTGAGAAAGTATGGTTTTACGCCGCTTTAACAATATTTCAGTATTATCATGCTGTATAAGGAAAGAAATGGGTTTCACACATAATACCCATGTGGGGAATCGAACCCGGGGTTTCGGCATGACGGCGAACGCTTTAACCATTAGGCTACACTACGCCTGTTCCAGCTTGTGACTTGTGGTCAATATCTATCTTTGTCAAGCTAATATGGCCGAGGTTGTATGTCTCGCGTATATCATGTTCCTTTATGGTTCTGTATCCCTTCCTTCTATTTCTGAAGTGTGAATGTCACACACCTTCCACATTGCAGTCAAGGCAGAGATCAGAAGACCTGGTCAGACGTCATTTCGTCTGTTGTATAAAGTCAGATGTTTTGTGATTTTACGTGTGATTCAAATATGAATTCTCGCCTGCAGATCAGAGGACGCCTTTGACGCCGTGCTGCACGTGACCCCTGTCAACAAGGTGGACAAACTGTTGACCAAGCTGGGCGACGAGGGGTTCGGGGAGGGACCGACTGCCAGCCAAGTCCTCAGCATCTCTGAGGGCGACACTGTCGAGGTCACATTTCGCGGCAACATCACCTCCAGCGACGACCGACCTCTCGAGGTCCAGTTTAACTCCAATGTATCGTCACACGTGCAGTTCACACTGACGGAGGTGGACAAGTACCTTCAGAAGAACTTCCCCGTGTATAGGGGCGTAGTGCAGGTGTACCGGAAGTACACGGTAGTTCCGGCGGAAGTCCGGTCCATCACGCGGAAGGTTTCTGACGACGAAGCGAAACAGGGACCGGAGGTGAAGAGGGATCTGCTGTGCGAGCTGCTGATAAGCATTCCGAAGGTGAACATTTTGTGAAGTGATTGTGAAGTGTAAGAAAGGAATATGCAATAGGATTTATACTTTCATTAATTATCCAAAATGTCACGATGACTGAGTGAGTGAGATAGAATTCACGCCCCTTTTAACAGTATTCCAGTATTTCACATCTTTTGCCACTTAAGTAAAAACACAAATAACGGGTATGAAACATTACTGTGGCTTACCCGGAGACAGACCGCCTCCATGGTCTAGTGGTAGAGCGTCCGCCCGGAGAGCAGAAGGTCCGGGGTTCGATCCCAGGCCGCGTCATACCAAAAGACGTTAAAAGATGGTACTTGTTGTTACCCTGTCTGGCTCTCGTGATTAAGGGGCTAAAACAAGGACTGGTCGACTCGGAACCATTAGTGGGGTATTCATGTTAAACTGTGGCATGGTATCTCAGTGAGCTAGCACTATAAATCGGCATCGGTCCGGACTAGTACAAGCAGCCACACAAACACACACACGTGCAATAATCTTGGACGCGACGTTAAACCCAATTCCATCTCACCTTACCGGGAGACAAACCCACAATCATTGGTGTTCGCGTGTCCAAGGGACGTAACTCTGCACAGCTTTTTTTGGATGCCTCAGACGAAGATCAGGTTATTAATTTGAATATTTTTGGTAAATAGATTGGTTAATAAGAGATAGCAAGATAAGGCACCAGCGTCAGTGGCACTGTACAGTTACCTCCCTTAGCCATGCCTGGATCCGCTGATCGTGTTTCAAATGCCATAGTCCCAATGTACATGTTCCCTAACCACCATACACGCGTGTTTGCCACGGTACAAGCCACTGAACTACATCACTTTGCCCTTTACTCCCACATCAAGCTGACGTGATAGAAATTAAATACTATTTAAAGTAGTATATCATTTCTCAAGCGGTGTGTAACTTAAGTTACTCACATTACCTCGAAACATCACCTCACTCAAACTTCAACATTCAAATGGTATTAGGAAATAAGCACTTTACTTTATTCGTATTGTCACTTTTGTCCTTTCATCAATATATTACGAGTTCTTACAAAATACTGACAATTCTCAGTAGGGAGTGAGGTGGGTTTAGCGCCGCTTTGAACACTATTTCAGTTTTATCTCAGCGCGTCAGCTTAATGTAGGAGGAAGGCCTTGGACAGTTTAGTGAAACCCACGAGCACGGGTGTGGTGCTGACAAACCTAGAAACATAATCGCGGCGAACCGGGATTCGAACCCACAATCATAGGATTCTGACCTGCCCAAGGGAAACAACTCTGCACAGCGAATTGCGGTGCCTGGGACGACTGGGCCACCCGTGCCCGCGACATTTCTCCGTGACCATTGATTTGTACAGGAGCACGAACACGTGACGACTTCCGTAAAACACCACGGTAATGACATAACTAAACTCAATTATAACGTTTCAGTACCACATTGAGCCGTGTCCATTGCCAGTCAAAGCTCCAATCACAATCCACAACACACGTGACCCAGTGAACGAGGACTACATGCACAGCCTGGCGGCAGAGCTGGGCGAGGAGTGGCGGAAGGTGGCGCACTATCTGAACGTGCAGCGCGTGCGGATCCAGGCAATACTGCGCCACATGCAGCTCGGGGAGAGGTCGGACGCGGACGCCAAGTTCGACATGCTGATGACGTGGCTGAAGAGAGCGCCAAAGTCGAGTGACAAGGTGAGCTAAATCGGATTTGTAGTCAGGAGATAAATTAAGTAAACGATGTTAGAGGCGATGGGGAGTTGAGTTGAACACCGCTTAGGGCAATAGTCTATACATAGCATAGTGTGTCACTTCTAGGAGAGCCAAACTATGTATGAATATTTAAATGTATTACGTGACAGATTGCATAACGTGGTGTGAGGGTAACATGGACCTTGGTCCGGCTGTGTGACGTGACTGATTGCATGACAGTGTCACAATAACGTAGACCTTGATCCGTGTGTAGGACGTGACTGATTGCATGGCAGTGTCACAATAACGTGGACCTTGATCCGTGTGTATGACGTGACTGATTGCATGACAGTGTCACAATAACGTAGACCTTGATCCGTGTGTATGACGTGACTGATTGCATGACAGTGTCACAATAACGTGGACCTTGATCCGTGTGTATGACGTGACTGATTGCATGACAGTGTCACAATAACGTGGACCTTGGTCCGGCTGTATGACGTGACTGATTGCATGACAGTGTCACAATAACGTAGACCTTGATCCGTGTGTAGGACGTGACTGACTACGTGACAGTGTCACAATAACGTAGACCTTGATCCGTGTGTAGGGCGTGACTGATTGCATGACAGTGTCACAATAACGTGGACCTTGAACCTTGACCCCTGTGTAGGACGTGACTGATTACGTGACAGTGTCACAATAACGTGGACCTTGAACCTTGACCCCTGTGTAGGACGTGACTGATTACGTGACAGTGTCACGGAAGCGTGAACAGTTGTTCCTGTATTCAGACATTAGCTTCTTGAACAACACTCAATTACCTCCGGTCGTTTTGACACAATATCACGAACTCACACTGTTACCCTCAACAGGTGGCCATATTGTCAACGGCGTTGATCAAGAGCGGAAGGGAGGACCTGTCAGACCAGATCCGCACCCGCCAGAGGGAGTACCGGGAACAACAGATTGGAAGCCGCTGATTGGTCGGCTCCGTGACGTCATACATAACAACGCCCACGCACTCGGAAGAACCAATCACAGCACCATTTATTCATGCGGGACTGGAAGATGATATAATTGACACCATTGTGACAAGCTACACATATACTCTTATTTATATTTTGCTGATAGTTCCACAGACTGTATGTCAACAGAATCACCGGATCCTGTTTAGGACACCGGATCCTGTTTAGGACACCTGGTGGTCAGCACTTTCAGTACATACATTTACCCCATACCGACGTAGCTCAACGTTCAGACAGTCAACCTCCTGTATGAAGCCTGGTATTATCTAACGTCATTGATGTAGTGTACAACAATATATAGTAGAGATTACAGGTTGATATTGACGAATGAAGCAATATTCTATGTCCAGGTGCCTTGTAACTGTTTAGGTTATTCCCACTAACCTGTCCCGCAATAACAACCTTGTGATATACGCCCTTCAGTATATTCTGAGCCAAAACTTAGGGTCAGCACACATTTACGGAAACAGTCTTCACAACAAAAACAGTATCACCCAAAATATATATGATCCCTTTTTTTGTGTGTTCAGTATCACTCTTTCGTAAATGTGGCTCTAACACATTAATACCACCAATTATTTATAAAAGCATTAAATCTAAATGGATGTGAAGGATCCAAATGGATGGATGTGTCTCCGAATGCACATGCAGTTGCATAACACGGAGTATATTATGTCAATTTACATACAAAACGAGCCCGCCAATTATTCCAAACATTAAGCGTACAGACAGTCAGGATGTTGTGTACAGCCACCACACTGTACAGAGTAACAGGGACGAACGCTGTACGAAACTTTTGTAGGACTAAATTATTAGCAACATACCTAATGCTACTCAAAATCCATTATGTTGGCGACTGCTAATGTGAAATGCTATTCGTGGCATTGATTGATTGTAGATGTGTAGTCAGGGTTAACTCTCTGATCCTGCCTGTATTTATATTACCAACATATCATATATCAGTATTTCCTTTGAATATAACTTTATTTGCATGGATCGGAGACGTAATATTCGTGTTATCCAGCTGTATGAATACTGTCTTTGTGTAGTCGTAGTGTACAGGATTACGGTGGTGTGTCTCTACGTATTATAAACTGACGGGCACTGATACAAGCTGGAACATTGACATGAATGTCTAAAGTTTATTACATAATATTATATTACCGTTCCTGATGAAACACCAACGCTTAAATCGAAGACTCATTCCGACAAAACAACCATTGGTGTAAACATACACACATGTACACGTCGACTACATCCCCGATACACCAAGACACCCGCCCTGAACTGTGTCCGACACGCACACGACACTTACACCTTCATCTAGAATTCCGTCCTAAACTATGTCCGACACACACACAACACTTACACCGTCATCTAGAATTCCGCCCTGAACTGTGTCCGACACACACCTGACACTTACACCGTCATCTAGAATTCCGTCCTGAACTGTGTCCGACACACACACAACACTTACACCTTCATCTAGAATTCCGCCCTAAACTATGTCCGACACACACACAACACTTACACCGTCATCTAGAATTCCGTTCTCAACTGCGTCCAACACACACAAGACACTTACACCGTCATCTAGAATTCCGTTCTCAACTGCGTCCGACACGCACACGACACTTACACCGTCATCTAGAATTTTATCAACTGTGTCCGACACACACACAACACTTACACCGTCATCTAGAATTCCGTTCTCAACTGCGTCCGACACACACATGACTTTTACACCGTCATCTAGAACTCCGTTCTCAACTGTGTCCGACACACACACAACACTTACACCGTCATCTAGAATTTTATCAACTGTGTCCGACACACACACGACACTTACACCGTCATCTAGAATTCCGTCCTGAACTGTGTCCGACACGCACACGACACTTACACCGTCATCCAGAATTCCGTCCTCAACTGTGTCCGACACACACACGACACTTACACCGTCATCTAGAATTCCGTCCTGAACTGTGTCCGACACACACACAACATTTACACCGTCATCCAGAATTCCGTCCTCAACTGTGTCCGACACACACACAACACTTACACCGTCATCTAGAATTCCGTCCTGAACTGTGTCCGACACACACACAACATTTACACCGTCATCTAGAATTCCGTCCTGAACTATGTCCGACACACACACGACACTTACACCGTCATCTAGAATTCCGTCCTGAACTGTGTCCGACACACACACAACACTTACACCGTCATCTAGAATTCCGCCCTGAACTGTGTCCGACACGCACACGACACTTACACCGTCATCCAGAATTCCGTCCTTAACTATATCCGACACACAGACAACACTTACACCGTCATCTAGAATTCCGTCCTGAACTGTGTCCGACACACACACAACACTTACACCGTCATCTAGAATTCCGTCCTGAACTGTGTCCGACACACACACAACACTTACACCGTCATCTAGAATTCCGCCCTGAACTGTGTCCGACACACACACGACACTTACACCGTCATCTAGAATTCCGTCCTGAACTGTGTCCGACACGCACACGACACTTACACCGTCATCCAGAATTCCGTCCTGAACTGTGTCCGACACGCACACGACACTTACACCGTCATCCAGAATTCCGTCCTGAACTATGTCCGACACGCACACAACACTTACACCGTCATCTGCCTGTCCACACTCACTGTATTACAACATCAAGGCTTTCTGTGATCCGTCTTTATCATTGACATATGCAATAAACTGTTAATGCATCACAAGCCGTGTGGGAGTCCTGTGTCCACCCTGTCCGAGGATAATGTGTCAACATATGCAGCAGATACACGTGTTCATTAAAACTCCACGTCAAGACGATCATGTGCCAATGTCACTCCTGTCTATCTCCTGAATGTATACCTGATCCTCTCTCAAAAGCAAGCCAGAAACTTGTGGTCGTTGCTTCGAATTCGACTACATGTATGTGTAGATGGCGCTTATGGGTTGTCGTGGAGCACTTTAAGTTGACTGTAACGTTGATATGAATGCTAGAAATTCACATATCAGCCAACTATTTAACTCAAGTCACTCAGTCAACTGTTGCCTATACTCTGTGTTACCAGTAAGAAATAACACCACCGAGGCCACCAAACCCGACATACAGGGTTGTTGAGCACCGGAGAATACATTATTGACATTGTCAAGTACATATCATCTTACACATGCGAGGGGTCGCGGGGCTATAAATCTAACATGAGATGCAAATATCAAAGGTCAAGTATGGACTACTTTCACTGTTTATAAACAAACATGGCGTCACCCTCGTCATTCGGCGATCGAGTCAGAATTAACCATCGGTAATCTGGATAAACTACAGGCATAATTGCTTTCTCTATTAAAAGAACAGTCTAATATACTGAAAATCATAGTCTAAATGTGACGTAGCTGAGGCATTTTATAAGTTTTGGCAACTTTGGCGATATGAATTTCAAAACAATTTTACGAGGGCACGAGGCCTAGCCAAGCGAGATCAGTAGCCATATCTATGCTTGTAGACCTCTGCGGCTTGAAACCTGCTCCACAAATTAAAATAGTTGGATTTGGCCGAAATATGTTTGAATTGTTACCTTGTTTCGTTTTTCGCTGTGTGTACATCGATACAAAATCCCAGCTTTACCCGTAATGATACTTACCACCAACCTTTAATTCTAGGGAGCGGAGGGGTAGACTAGTGGTTAAAGCGTTCGCCCGTCATGCTGAAGACCCGGGTTCGATTCCCGCCATGGGTACAACATGTGAAGCCCAGTAATGGTGCCTCCCACCATGATATTGCTGGAATATCGCATCCAAAAGATGAGGTGAAATCGTCACAAAGGTGACACGTCTTGTTATAATCCTAGAAATATCCAAAGTCGTAGAGTGTGAAAATATACATCATTGGCAAGACATCTTTTGGAAGACATCGTTAGTTTGTGCAACATGAAAGCGGTATTGTTTGTTATCCTCAGTGAAGCGACCGCTGACACAAAGACACAGTCGATCGTGGAGGTAACAGATGAGTTGACCGCATGTACGCCTTCACCAGAACATCTTCAACTAGTGACACAACTATAGTACAGAAGCTTCTGCTAGTGACACAACTATAGTACAGAAGCTTCTGCTAGTGACACAACTATAGTACAGAAGCTTCTGCTAGTGACACAACTATAGTACAGAAGCTTCTGCTAGTGACACAACTATAGTACATAAGCTTCTGCTAGTGACACAACTATAGTACATAAGCTTCTGCTAGTGACACAACTATAGTACAGAAGCTTCTGCTAGTGACACAACTATAGTACAGAAGCTTCTGCTAGTGACACAACTATGGTACAGAAGCTTCTGCTAGTGACACAACTATAGTACAGAAGCTTCTGCTATTGACACAACTATAGTACAGAAGCTTCTGCTAGTGACACAACTATACTTCAGAAGCTTCTGCTATTGACACAACTATAGTACAGAAGCTTCTGCTAGTGACACAACTATAGTACAGAAGCTTCTGCTAGTGACACAACTATAGTACAGAAGCTTCTGCTAGTGACACAACTATAGTACCGAAGCTTCTGCTAGTGACACAACTATAGTACAGAAGCTTCTGCTAGTGACACAACTTTGCTACAGAAGCTTCTGCTATTGACACAACTATAGTACAGAAGCTTCTGCTATTGACACAACTATAGTACAGTAGCTTCTGCTAGTGACACAACTATAGTACAGAAGCTTCTGCTAGTGACACAACTATAGTACAGAAGCTTCTGCTATTGACACAACTATAGTACAGAAGCTTCTGCTATTGACACAACTATAGTACAGAAGCTTCTGCTATTGACACAACTATAGTACAGAAGCTTCTGCTATTGACACAACTATAGTACAGAAGCTTCTGCTATTGACACAACTATAGTACAGAAGCTTCTGCTAGTGACACAACTATAGTACAGAAGCTTCTGCTATTGACACAACTATAGTACAGAAGCTTCTGCTATTGACACAACTATAGTACAGAAGCTTCTGCTATTGACACAACTATATTACAGAAGCTTCTGCTATTGACACAACTATAGTACAGAAACTTCAACTAGTGACACAACTATAGTACAGAAGCTTCTGCTATTGACACAACTATAGTACAGAAGCTTCTGCTATTGACACAACTATAGTACAGAAGCTTCTGCTATTGACACAACTATAGTACAGAAGCTTCTGCTAGTGACACAACTATAGTACAGAAGCTTCTGCTATTGACACAACTATAGTAGAGAAGCTTCTGCTAGTGACACAACTATAGTACAGAAGCTTCTGCTAGTGACACAACTATAGTACAGAAGCTTCTGCTAGTGACACAACTTTGGTACAGAAGCTTCTGCTATTGACACAACTATAGTACAGAAGCTTCTGCTAGTGACACAACTATAGTACAGAAGCTTCTGCTAGTGACACAACTATAGTACAGATTCTGCTAGTGACACAACTATAGTACAGAAGCTTCTGCTATTGACACAACTATAGTACAGAAGCTTCTGCTATTGACACAACTATAGTACAGAAGCTTCAACTAGTGACACAACTATAGTACAGAAGCTTCTGCTAGTGACACAACTATAGTACAGAAGCTTCTGCTATTGACACAACTATAGTACAGAAGCTTCTGCTAGTGACACAACTATAGTACAGAAGCTTCTGCTAGTGACACAACTATAGTACAGAAGCTTCTGCTAGTGACACAACTTTGGTACAGAAGCTTCTGCTAGTGACACAACTATAGTACAGAAGCTTCTGCTAGTGACACAACTATAGTACAGAAGCTTCTGCTAGTGACACAACTATAGTACAGAAGCTTCTGCTAGTGACACAACTATAGTACAGAAGCTTCTGCTATTGACACAACTATAGTACAGAAGCTTCTGCTATTGACACAACTATCGTAGAGAAGCTTCTGCTATTGACACAACTGTAGTACAGAAGCTTCTGCTATTGACTTTAGGGCTTACAACAAGCAAATGTAACACACTGATCCCGATACGTGACGCTCTCCTTAATTACACTGAATGAATAAATAAATGTTCTCAATTTGTTAAGGGGAAATTGGTATGAAAGTATTGTGAGTCTACACAACGCCAATATTAACCAAGATATTCATCATCACACCATACCAGTATGTTCTGGCTAATGGTCTGTGTTCTGGCTAATGGTCTGTGTTCTGGCTAATGGTCTGTGTTCTGGCCAATGGTCTGTGTTCTGGCTAATGGTCTGTGTTCTGGCTAATGGTCTGTGTTCTGGCTAATGGTCTGTGTTCTTGCTAATGGTCTGTGTTCTGGCCAATGGTCTGTGTTCTGGCTAATGGTCTGTGTTCTGGCTAATGGTCTGTGTTCTGGCTAATGGTCTGTGTTCTGGCTAATGGTCTGTGTTCTGGCTAAAGGTCTGTGTTCTGGCTAATGGCCTGTGTTCTGGCCAATGGTCTGTGTTCTGGCTAATGGTCTGTGTTCTGGCTAATGGTCTGTGTTCTGGCTAATGGTCTGTGTTCTGGTCAATGGTCTGTGTTCTGGCTAATGGTCTGTGTTCTGGCCAATGGTCTGTGTTCTGGCTAATGGTCTGTGTTCTGGTGTTCATCGTCCATGTTGGCCTTGTTTAAGTGAAGTTTGTACAAACATGATAGCATCTTCATCTCTCGTAACAGCAGCAACATCTACATAACATGGATCTGTCTCCAAAGTGAGATTCAAGTGAGTTGTTGACGATGCCAGTGGAAGCGTTCTTCCCTGACCTAAACTCACAACATCAACAGTAGATATCTTTCCTAGCATTACATTCTCTCGTGTCATATACATACGCAGCAGTTCGTGTCCATTATAAGAGGCGACTAAATGGATTGGGTGGTCAGTCGAGATGACTTGGTCATGTCATCATATCCCAATTGCGTGTATCGATGCTCATTATGTCAATCACTGGAATACCATGTCCTGAATGTATCATTATTGACCATGGTCAAAAACCGGAATATTGCTCAGCGCTGCGTGTACAAAAAATGAGAACAAACTAAACAAACACCAGCATTGAAAACAAAGAGCTTGGTAAAAGAGTGAGTGAGTGAGTGAGTATGGTTTTACCGCTTTTAGCAATATTCCAGCACTATCACGGCGGGGGACACCAGAAATGGGCTTCACACATTGTACCCATGCCGGGAATCGAACCCGGGTCTTCTGCGTGACGAGCGAACGCTTTAACCACTAGGCTACCCGGCCGCCCCGCAGTAGCAGCATTCACGGCTACCACCCAGTACGACGATGTTTCCTGCAGCCTGTGGTCACCGTGTGTCCATCACATGTCCGTTTACGTTTTGTGTACAGTAAGGACAGTTGCACCAATGGGACATTCCACAGAAGGTCTGAGATGGACGATCTGGTGTTTGCCGGGAGTCTGATGGAAGAGATCAACTAGGTGGACGTGAGGTCTGAGATGGACGATCTGGTGTTTGCCGGGAGTCTGATGGAAGAGATCAACCAGGTGGACATGAGGTCTGAGTGCTTCGCTCAGTGTCAGTGTGGATATGGCTGAGAACTTCTGAGCGTATCTAAGAACGATCAATATATAATATAACCTCAGCAGTTTGCATGATTAAAGTACAACTTTTTCTATAATTACTGGCGGCATTTGATAACAGAATGGGACAAGGTTATTTTATCTGTTGGAAGAAGGTGGACAGTATTGTGTCACTAACTGACAGGGCTCCAACAGTGTC